ACCTTAAACCAAGTCCAGATACCAGAACCTGGTCTCAGTCCGGTCCGGACCATCAGGATCAGGTAAGTGTAAACTCTTTGACCTGGTTCCGGTTCGGTGAGTGTAAACACGTGGAGTTTAACTAAACTAGTTCATAACTTCATCATTGATATGGATCCTCAGAACCGGTACCGGTCGGTTCTGGTCAGTAAACAGCTGGTTAGCATCTGTTAGCTCCTCACCTTGTTTTCGTCCATTATTTATCCTCCGCTGCTCGGGACAGAACCGGTCCAGAGGACACGAACTCTGGGCCCGACCGAGTCCGAACCCGGGCTCAGTCAGCAAACACACAGCAACAGAACCAGAACAAAACACCCCGAACCGAACCGAGCCGTTTTCTGATGCTGTTTACATCAGCCTCCGACAACTTTCTTCTTCTTCTTGTGTTTCCGGCGGATGTGAGACCAACTTCCGGGGCGGTACTGCCCCCTGCTGTGAGCTCAGGTTACACAGGAAATATTAATAATTTATTCACTACCTTCAACAAATACTGTTTTATAAACTCAATGATTCTAATAAATTCTCTCTAAGACATTTAAAAACTTTTATTACATCTTTAACTTTAATGACGTCACTGCTAAATATATCACCAACTGTAAATTTAAAACTCATTTTATTTAGTTTGTTCTTTCTGAATCAAATCAGAACATTTAATAAAAACATGTTTTAGATTATATTATATTATTATACATATAACTCCTACAAACACAGAGTCAATCACAAGTAAGTTAGGAATAAAAACAACACAGAACAATAAAAACAGGTCATAAAACCAAAGTAAAAACAGAATAAAAAACAATAAAATATTAAAACCTCATTTAAAATCTAGAATAAAAACAAAAAACTTTTACAAAAAGTAAAATCTGGTATAAAAAAAGAACACAAGTCGTCTCACAGAGTCCAAAGAAAACAAATGTTTTATTAAACAAACGAGTTTTAAAAACAGTAAGTGAACAAGTCTGAGTGAGGCTCGGTCCATCAGACCCTCCTTCAGGTCCAGGTTTACAGACCCTCCTTCAGGTCCAGGTTTACAGACCCTCCTTCAGGTCCAGGTTTACAGACCCTCC